GTCAGATTGGCTTAGCTCAGAGGTCAGATTGACTTGTGACAGAGGGAACGTTCGGAGTGGTCAGATTGGCTTGTGCCTTCCACAAGACTGTCGTGTGCAACTTGACAGCTCAAGGGTCCGACGCGGTTTGCTTTGCTTGTTTTTGCAAGAGAAAACCACTCTTGACGGAACACAAACATGTACACAAGCACGCACATGCGAAACAAAGAAACACAAGTGCCAACGCAGCAACAAGAATAACATGTTTTTTTAAGGTCTTCACATTTTTGGAAAAACGGAAACATTTTTTGAATTTTTCGAATAGAATGATAACGTTTGTGTTCTTGCAAGAGAGGGTTTTGTGTTGTGTTTTATTGCTCGTGCTGACTGCGAGTTATGTTGCTGGAGTTGTGTTGCGCCAAGAGAAGTGCCAACAAGTGTGTCCGTAGCCGTTTCTGACACGACACGCGCAATTGTCTGTCTTTGTGGTTGCGCAGGCAGAGACATGTTGGGTGAGTTTGACACGCGCAGCCTGGCTAGGCAGATGCGGTGGGCCGACGTGACCGACAAGGATGGCGTTGAGCTCACTTGGTGCTGGACGACCGAGGCTGCGTTTTTGCCGTTTCTTTCGCGCCCTGTGCAGGAGTACGTGCGAAGACGCTGTGCGCTGACGTTGTCAACTCCAGACGGAGCCTGAGTGTTTGGTTGCCTTCTGACTTGTCGAAAACGTTTTTGTTTAAGGTGGGCTGGGTCCGCGTTGACAAGGCGTTGGAAATGGGAAAGTTGTTTACGGAGCGCGCATTCCTGCCAGGATTGGTCCGTGCCCTCGCACAAAGAGAAGGCAGGGAGGGTTGAGGCCGTGCGCTTGCTTCGGGGCACGTTTAGCCCGCGTTTCCTGCCCAGGGGTGGTTGGTGTGCGTGGGTGCGTGTGCGTGTGTGTGCGCGTGTGCGTGCGCGTGTGCGTGTGCGTGCGCGAGGTTTCTCGTGTGGTTTCTTGTGTGCCTGTGTACGCGTGTTTCTGTGTGCGTTTGCCACTGCGTGCTTTGATGCTAGCTCTCGCTCGGTGAGTGTCGTTGCAGCGCAGGAAGCGATTGCGCCGTCTGACTCGACAGCAAAGGCGCTGGCGGGGTTTGTCGCAAAGCAAGATTCGCTCTGTGCTTGGTTGAGGCAAGACCGAAGAAGAAGGACAAGAGGGCTGCCGCGCCCAGCTTTTCCAATGATAGCTGGGACGAGGCGTGGAGGAGGCGGCTTGCCGCAACAGCGCCAGACACTGTGCGCAGGAAATGGAGGCGGAGATTTCTCGTTTGATAGCGGAGAATGCTGCTGTGTCATCCGAGGCAAGTGTGCGCCCGTGTGTGTGTGTGTGCGTACACGCGTGTGTGCGTGTGTGCATGTGTGCGTGCATGTGTGCGTGCGCGTGTGTGTGTGTGTGTGTGTGTGTGTGTGTGTGTGTGTGTCTGTGTACGCGTGTGCGTGGGTGCGTGCGTGCGTGCGTGGGTGCGTGCATGCGTGCGTGCGTGTGCGTGTGTGTGTGTGTGTGTCTGTGTACGCGTGTGCGTGGGTGCGTGCGTGCGTGCGTGGGCGCGTGGGTGCGTGTGTGTGTGTGTGTGTGGGTGTGTGTGTGTGGGTGTGTGTGAGTGCGCATGTGTGTGTGTGTGCGTGTGTGCGTGTGTGTGTGCGTGCGTGTGTGTGTGTGTGTGCGTTTGTGTGTGCGTGGTGTGTTGTGTGTGTGTGTGTGTGTGTGTGTGTGTGTGTGTGTGTGTGTGTGTGTGTGTGTGTGTGTGTGTGTGTGTGTGTGTGTGTGTGTGTGTGTGTGTGTGTGTGTGTGTGTGTGTGTGTGTGTGTGTGTGTGTGTGTGTGTGTGTGTGTGTGTGTGTGTGTGTGTGTGTGTGTGTGTGTGTGTGTGTGTGTGTGTGTGTGTGTGTGTTTGAGCGCGCGTGCGTTTGTTGCCAGCGCAATCTTGCGCAGGCAGGGTGTTGGTTGGACATGGGTGGGGGCTGAGAGCTCAGGATAATGTTCAGTTTGGAAGTGTTTGACAAGTTGGCGCAGAGGCGACGAGTTGGCGCGTTGTTTGGAACGGCGAGTGCGGCGGGAGCGGCGGAAGGCCGGGGTGCGTGCGCGCATGTGAGCTGTTACTTCGGATCTTGAAGGCAGTGGCTGCAGCGGCGGGTTTGCGAGAGCAACGGGTCGTACCGGAGGCAAAACGCTCTTTTGGAGTAGAGGTTTTTCGGGCCCTATCAGCTCGCAGGTAGCCGTGAGTCGAGGGCGCTGGCAGGCGAGGTTTGCAAGCGCTGAGGCGCATGTCCTTGTCGGGTTGTGTTTTTGTGCCACGGAGGACGCCGAGGCTGAGGATATGCAAGAGAGCTTGGCGTACTTGCTACCGCCGTGGCACAAGACCCGCAGAGCACGAAACCAAGAGGCGACGGGCAGCAGTTTTGTGCCCACGCGGCTGCAGACTGGCTGCGTCTCAGGCCCACGCGATCGGCCATCCCTTTTGCTCGTTTTGGATGTTTTTGCACGATAGATTTTGCACGATTCTTGCTTGTTGCGGGGCTGCTGAAGGGGATACTTAATTAGTGCCCGGTTGGCCGGGCGAGCTGCTCAATCCCTCTGACACTCTGATGGCTGGCTTGTAGTGATGTTGGCTAGGGTCATCTGGTATGGGGGGCAACAAGTCAATCAGACGTGTCACAAACCAATCTGACGTGTCCAGAAGGGTCTGACCAATGTCACAAGTCAATCTGAAGGGTCCACATGTTGACAAGCCAATCTCACGGGTCTGACAAGCGTGTTTGACCCGCAGCCCATCGGCCGTGCTGCGCAGACGTTCCGTGATGGAGGGCGGCCCCTGACCGTTGCTGGCCAGGGTGCCGGCCTCGGGTCTCCTGCCAGGTCATTCTCAACAATGCGGGTTCCGCCGTGGCCTTGGTACCGCACGTCCTCGTCCGTGGCCTCTGCGGGAGTGCGGAAGCCGTTCTCGGGAATTGCCTGCAGAGGCGTGTGCTGCAGGGGCGGGGGTTGGGGTCCTTGCTGGACTGTACGAAATCGTCCAGGTAGAAGTGGCTTGTGACGAACGAGGTGGCCCACCACCTGCTCAAAGCGCGGGCGCTGGTTGAAGCCGTGCGCCCAAAGCGTCTTCAGCCTGGTGGAATGGTTGGATCGCACACTCCGTGAAGCCTCAGTCTCCGCGCCAGCCCATTTACCAAGCGTGAAGAGGAAGGCGGAGAGCGACCAGCCGCAGCCGGAGCCGGAGGTAACCGCTGTGTGCTGCCAAGGGCCGACGGGCCGCGAGACAAGGATTTCATGAGGAACAACGCCGCTCCCATCTTCCACAGTTCCGCAGGCCCGGGTGTGTCCGAAGCAGAACTGCTGGAGTGCCTTTACAGGGTGGGGGACGACAAGTACCAGGGCAAAGGTTGTGCTTGGATGGCGTGGCGCCTTGTGGGCCAAGCTCTCCGACGTCGGCCACCACGTCATGCTTCGACCCGAAAGAGCAAACTTGTGGGCCTTCTTCCACAAGCACCACGAAACTGCTGCCCCATCCTCCGGCGCCCACCCACCTCTACAAGCTTGGCAAGGGGAAGCTTCACGATGTCGTAAAGCTGATGGCCAATTGCTTGGAGCAGAAGGGACCATGCGGGCCATGAGTGGGGCACTACGACGCCCTTCTTGCAGCAAACGCACCTCCGGCGCCAGAGACCCCTCCACAACGGGTTTTGAAGAACTACGACGATATGACGACGTCCGAGTTCCAGAGCCATCTTATCAAGCTCGACACGACCTTCCGAGGCGACAGGGCCTTGAACTCCGGGAAGCGCCTGCCGAAAAACGAGCACTTGCAGAGCAGGGCTCGCAAGCAGGTGCAGGACGACCAGTTGCAAGTGGAGAGCCTCTGGTGTCGCGCCATCGCCAACTTTCAGATGACTTTGATATTAACGAGAGCACCGTGAACTCGCCCGACTTGCCAGCGACCATCAAATGTCGCTACAACGACGTGAAGGTGCCTGCGGAGACGTTCAGGATCATCACGGTGAGGACCTGGCGAAACTCCACCACAACTTGGACGCATGGCGAAGATTTGCCCTCCGGACCTTATGCTCGAAGGGTTTGAGTGGCGCGCTCGCCCGCTTGACAAGGTCTTTGACGCGGACACGCGCGCGGTGCTGAAGCGCTGCATCCTCGTGGAAGTGACGGCGCAGTGTGTCAAGGACTCTGTGCGCGCAAAGCAAAAGTTCGGGTCCGACAAGGCGATCTCGGGGGAGAGTGGAGGTTCAGCGGGTTGGGGGCCATATAGCACATATAGTACATATAGCATGGAGCTGGGACACTGTGGGGTTCAGCGGGTTGGGGGTCATATTCCGCTTGGCTTTTCCACGCCCGCAGTTGCAGCGCGTCGCCAACTGTGCGTCTTTGGGCAAGGCGGCCTGGGCCACGAGCGTGCCCTGACAGCACGTCGTTCCTAACAGCGCGGGATGCGGCGTGCCCGTGTCGCGAATTACTGGCCGTTGTACAATGCCCTCAAACTCTCCGCCATGGTCATGTTTACATTAGGGTTTGGGGTGCTGCTTACATTTGATCCTGTTCTGTTTAGGGGGTGCTTCTCACACAAGAACATGCAATTGCCGTGCGCTGCTGGAGGAGCTGCTGAAGCAGGAGGCGGAGCAGGAAGGCGGAGTGGAGGATGAGCTGGAACAGAAGAAGAAGAAAAAAAAGAAAGAAGATGATGAAGATGATGTCGACGTTGAACATTTGTTGCAGCTTGTTGAGGAAGAGGAGCTTGTGCGCATGGAGGAGGAGGAAGAGGATGAGCTTATGCAGGATTCGGAGCACGAGCCGCAGGTGGAGCGCGAGCCGCAGGTGGAGCTCAATGAGCCGCAGGTGGAGCTCAAGGAGCCGCAGGTGGAGCTCAATGAGCCGCAGGTGGAGCTCAATGAGCCGCAGGTGGAGCTCAAGGAGCCGCAGGTTCAAGGAGGGATCGCGGTCCAAGTGCGGCCAGCGGATATGGCAGCGGAGATGGCAAGGCTGGCCCTGGCCAAGATGGCAAGGCCGGCAAAGATGGCAAGGCCGGCGACGGCAAGGCCGGCAAAGACGGCAAGGCTGGCAAGGCCAAAGACAAGGCTGGCAAGGCCAGCAAAGATGGCAAGGCTGGCAAGGGCGGAAAGCACGCCCAGGATGGCAAGGACGGCAAGCGCGGCAAGGACGGCAAGCGCGGCAAGGACGGCCGGGGTGGCAAGGATGGCAAGGATGGCAAGCGTGGCAAGGACGGCCACGCTGGCAAGGACGGCAAGCGTGGCAAGGACGGCGGCAAGGACGGCGGCAAGGACGGCATCAAGCAGGAGCTCAAGGGTGGCAAGGCTCCAAAGCCGTGGCGGGCATCATCAAAGCCGAGCCAGGGCGAGAGCAGCAGCATGGAGGGCAAGAGCGACAGGTGGGGTGGTCGCTACGTGCCTGATGGCTACAAGACTGCCGATGGGCAGTTCTTTCCGCTACTTGGCATGTCTCGGTCTTGTTGGCTGAGTATTTGAGGAGTGTTTCTTTTGGCTGCATGTGCGAGTGAGCCGTCATGGCCCTGCTGATGCGAGTTTCAAAGAAACCCTGCATGTTGATTTGCAAAGCTTTGGTTTGGAACCTTGCGCTGTTTCCGTCTTGCCCAGGTTTGGCTACGGACGCTCGAGGGCCCGCTCGCGCGGTGGCAGCAGCAACGTGGAGACGGTGAGGTGGCAGGCGGTGAGGGACCTGGCGGCGGTGGCCGAAGCGAGCATGGGCAGCAGAGTGAGAGATGCGTAGGCTAGGTTGCGCCAGTCGTGGAGTTTGACAAGAACACATGAAACTTGCACATGCGCGTGAACATGCTTCAGGCTCCACGCCACGCACAGGCGAGTCACTTAGAAACTGCGGCAGGATTCACGGCCACAGCCAACATGGACATGTCCAATCAATCACGAGCGCGACTCCAGCCGGCATCCGTCACAACAAAGGGCGCGCAGGGCATCACTTGTTCCAAAACCCTAACACACACCTGAATTGTTGTTCAACAAACTTCCACATGTTGGGTTTCTCAGAATTTGTTGTTCAACAAATTTCCACATGTCGGGTTTCTCAGAATTTGTTGATCAACAAATAGAAACGCCAAATATTTGTTGAACAACAAAACAAACACTACCATATTTATTGAACAACAAATTCCAGGATAGTGCCTAGTCCAAGATTTGTTGTTCAACAAATGTTTGAGACACCATGTTTGAGAGTTGTGTTTTTTTAGCTACCCTGTATGCCCATCCCCTAAGTGCACGGTTTCACCCTCGACTGGAATTCACCTCCGTCCGCGGACGTTAAAAGCATTTGTTTGCCTGCTGCGTGAGGTTCTGGCCAGGGCTTTGGTTGATGCGTGTGTGTGTGTGTGCTGTTGCAGTACATGTGAAGGAGTGCGCAGTGCTTGACATGTCACGTCGAACTTGTTTGTGTGGCGGCAGATCCTGACTGGAACATGTTTAACCCGTACTGGATTGTGGAGCGAGCTGAAGAGAATGCGTTTGAGGGAGGATTTCCCCCACACACACATGCAATTGGTTCAACTAAGGGTTGCTTGAATCAATTAATGGGTGGAAATGAGTTTGAGGCAGGTGACAGGAGTTAAAGGGCCCACAGGTGTGGCAAGGAAGTTTGAAAATAAGGGCGTCACAATTTGGGGTCCAACACTGGCACCCTGAGAGGCTCGAGTTTAACTTTGGTGCTCAGCTGGGGAACACCATTTTGGTTGTGTGCGCAAACCATGTTGGGCGCGGGTTGGGAGTGCGTTGCATTGGGCGTGTGTTGGATGTGTTTGAGCTGTGTTTTCAGTGAAGCGAGCCACGCACAGGCGAGCTTCTGAAAAGCCCTGCCTTTTGTAGCGAGCTGTTGCAGCCCTGCTTGAGTTTGGCGTCTCACATTGCTTGCGTCAGGTTGAGTTGGTAATCGTTTGCAATCGAATTTGGAGTGTCCAATCAATCGCACGCACGTGGTGTACAGTCGGCCATTGGCCCGACATCACGTTCTGGAAAGGGTTCATGTGCTTGACATGAACCAATGCAGGGCGTTGTGAGCGCTCGCTGTGTGCATTTTGAAGCAGGGCCTTGCCACAGAGGCTCGCTCAGTGACCCTTCACCGTTGTGTATCGGTGCGCCGCCATGGAGAGCTGGCAGTTTAAGACCGACCTGTCAGAGGACGAGGCCAACTGAGAGAACCAGACGCTGTCTGATTGGCTGCTGCTTGGGCCTGCTGCCTCGCGGCGGTGCAGCCTAGCCTTCGTGGGAGAGAAGTTCTACCTCACCACGTCCCCCTGCGTGGCCTTCAAGTGGCAGGTGATGAACGTGGACGACAGTGGCGTCATCCTGAAGCGCCCCAGCAAGACCGGCAAGGAGACCTACATGATGACCGCGCCGGTGCAGAAGGTGAGCATGAAGCTGGCCTCGACCCATATGGTGACTGCCGCTTTGAGACACGTTTTTCCGGCCCATCACCGTCTCGACTCTGCTGGAGTGGTGGACCGACCAGGACGAGATCATCTGTTTGGACTCTAATGGTGCGCAGACACGTTCAAGCACGACAATTGAGCAGTTGGCAAGGGCCAAGGAGCCGGCCATGAAAAGGCCTGCAAAAGCGCCACCAAGGGTTGCGAAGCCACACGGACATCGTGCTTCAGTTTGTTCATGACACACTTAACGTGAGTTCTTAGCGTTGTGCCCGAAGTCTGGCGCCTGACCTGCATGGTCAGGGAGACAGGCTCAGGCATTGGCGTTTGGGGGGAACTGTCCACCTCATGGATGTGGATGAGGCTGTTAAGGGCCTCAAGGCCGCCACGGCCTACCTTGACAGGACACGGGGCCTGCTTTCGAATGACACTTTCAAAGATGTGGCAATTCAGCAAGCCAAACAGTGGCGACAGCGGATCGCCCGCATGAACTTGTCCAAAGTTGAAGATGCGGGGCGTCTTCTCGAAGAGGTCTCTGCTGGCAGTTGGCCAGAGGATATGAAACAAGAGCTCTTGCAAGCTGTCGCAAAGCGGGGCGGTGAAGGGTCCAAGGAGCCTCTTGCCATGAGGCAACGCCAGAACATGAAAAATTTTGGCGCCTACATGACCACTTCGGACATGGACCAGCTCCGCCAGGGGACAGGCGCGCTCAGCAAGCTGGATGTTCTAGCATCTCGCATGTATAAGATCGCCTAGCCTTGGCGCCGACGGCGTGCCAGGGTGGGGCAAGCCTGTGGTGTGGAGATCCAGAACGCGCAGCACGGAAACGACATGCTGCGAGACCTCAAAAAGAGCTTGAAAACCAAGGTCAGGAAGGTGGAGTGCGATGAGGACGCTGTGCACGTCCTTGACTTCCCGGCATTGCCGCAAGGTCTCAAGGACACCCTTGGGTCGCCCGCCTATGAGACTTGGTGGCAGAACGCGTACGGTGAGCGCGAGCAGCCACTAGGCGAGGGCTTCAGCGGGCAGCATTTCCCCCACACAGTCGCGACTTCTGAGCCCAGCCCAAGCCCCTTCCTCTGCCCATGCTTCTTCCAGCTCGAGCGGCAGCAGCTTGACAATGTTGGACTGCATGCAAGCATTGTGCCACAGCAGCCAAGATGGCAACCCTATGTTTCAGATGCTGGCTTGCTTGGCGCAGCTAGCAGGGCGATTGCTGCGCCGCCGACAAATACACCCGCTGCTGCCAGCAGCCCCCGCGGAAAAGACGGAACCCCCACCAAAGAGGAGAGCCAGGCAGCCAGCCAGCCCGCCTTCTGAGAAGAAGGCTTCCCAGTCGCCCAATGCGTTGGCGCTGCCGGATGTGCCTGTCGTCAGTCCTGAGGAGCAGGCCAAGGTTATGATGGAGGCCTTGCAGCAAGGCTGCAGGCAAGTCCACGGCCAAGGCCAAAGCAACGGCCAAGGCCAAGGCCAAGGCCACGGCAAGTGCTGATGAGGGCAAGGTGCAGGCCAGTGAACAGGCCGCAGACGACACCGAAGATCAGCAGCCGCCTGCAGCGGCCAAGGGCAAGGCAAAGGCAGACAACGCCGGAAGAACCAGTCTACATGGTATGGCCCCGGCAGGATCAATCGCAATGGTGGCCACTGGCGTGTCTTTGTTGTCAACACCGACCGCTGCGACAGAAAGATCCGCATTGGTGAGGACCCTGACGCGTCCTTTGCTAAGGCATTGAGCTTGATTGAGCAAGGGCGCTAGTCTGGCTCTGGGGCATTGGTGTTCTATTGATTTTGTTTGACGCTGATAGTGTTGCAAAGTGTTCAAATTTGTTTCAGCAAGCCCCAGCCAGTGATCGATGGCTCGCCATGAAGTTGCAGGGCCTGCACGCAGGGCCTCAGTCACAGGCTCGCGATTTTGCAGTGTTTGCCATTGGCCGCAAGCGGCGTGAGCGTGAGGGGAAATTGGACCCCGCGTAGATCCGTTCCCAAGGGCAAGCTTCCCCAATGTGCCCCCTTTTCTCAAGTCAGTGTTTTCGGGCGCAACTGAGAGGCTTCAGTGTGAACCCAATCCTGGTGAAAGCGAGCCCTGATCAAATGTGGCCCTGCTTCTGGCGCGAGCTGTTGCAGCCCCTGCAGCCTTGATGCCACTGCGTTGTTTTTGCATTCAGCTTGAAGAAGGGGCAACCGGTTGCTGGAAAGCTTGCTCCCACGGACAACATTGTCCACACCCACGTTTTTTGAATTGCGCCTGAAAAGAGCGCAGCCATGAACAGTTGAGCAGAGAGCTGAACGAAGGTCCTGGAATGATGCGCTGCAAGAGACACGTTTCGGCTTTTGAATCACTTAGGGTTTAGGGTGGTTGTGAAGCTGAGTGCCCGCTCACGCAGGTGTATCCTGCAAATGCCCTTCCATGCAGGCCGGGCTTGTTGAATGTCTGGCAAGCTCATGCGCATCGGCGCTCGCATGCTGTTGTGATCTGGACTCACTGCATGGGTTTGGGCAGTCATGTTCATGCTGCGCCAAAAATGCGGCTGGTTGCGCCTGGCTCGTGAAAGCGCGCAGAAGATGCAGTTGACGGTTCCGCATGGAAGCACAGAATCAAATTGCCCGCCGCAAGTCTGGTGCATGTGCAATATAGGCAAAACAACAAGCAGTGTCACTGCGGGCTTTTTAGGCTTGCAGATCGGTGTGCGCAGGGCATTTGTTGCTCGCCCTTTCATGCAGTGCTCGCGAGCACGCAAATTTTAGCAAACCTGCGGCATGGCAGCGGCTTCCTCTTCGGGGCGACAGGTGTACATCTCGGCCGGCCGGCGCAGCTACGTGACGCAATCTGCAATGGTGGCAGTCCTCAAGGCGGTGCGCGACCACGGCCTCCCAGAGCGCATTAGCCGACAAACCTTGAAGAGAACACGGCAGCAAGAGTTGCCGAAGGACACTGCCCTAGGAGACCTTTGGCGAACCATCGAGTTAGAGCTTCAAGACGGGAGCAGTCTCAGTCTGCCCGTGGTGAGCCCTCTGCCACTCTTGCAAGTGTGCGTGAGCCGCAGCCCTCAGTT